ATTGTCTAATAATTTTGCAAGGATGTAAAAGTCGGTCATAACCATCCGTTTAATGCACCCCTCATATGTAGGTTGGTGGTAAAGAGTATTCTAGGAATGATGAATAGAGTAGTAGTTTTATATATTTTGTTACCATTTGATGAGATCCTAGTCTCTCAGTCTCTCAAGCTATCAAATAAAAATTAGGAAGAAGATTTTAGATAATTTTTATTAAATAATTGTCAAGGTTTTTATTTAATTTTAGCAAAAATTTTAACCCTAAGGCTGCATATGTAAATCAAGAACCGATGTAAAATTTACATCGGTTCGGCTTTGTAGGCATTTAGAAAGAGGGTATAATTATTATTGACGTAAAACTCCACTCCGATTCAGTTTTGTGTGTGCTTGGATGGAGAGAAGTTTTACGTCGATAATTGATGTAAAACCTCATCAGCTCAAAAGTTTTACATCGATAATTGATGTAAAAACTACATCGATTTTATCGATGTAAAACTTTACACTCTTCCACCTATCGCTATTTTCAAAAAGCAACGGCCACTTTCATGGTTCAGTGTAAAACAACATTGGTGTATTTTTACACCAATGATGTTTTACACTGATTTCAAACACAGCCTTAAAGTTTTTGACCGTTGCTGAAACCTCCCCTAAAGTTGGTAATCATCTCTCCTAAACTTTTTGACCCATTTGCAAGTAGATCCCTTTTGTTAGAATCCTCTAACAAGAGGCACGGAAATGTCCAAGATATCCATATAGTTACTTTTGACCAAAATGTTTATTTTCCAATTTTTTTTTATTCATATCAATCTTACTCTAAGTACTTCCAATCTCTTTCCTAAAAGTTGATTTATTTTTCAAATTTGCCCATTCATACGTAAAATTGCAACTTTAAACCCTCATTTTTTTTTGTTCATAAAATTTATATTGTTTTACTGTAGAAACCAGCATCGACAGTAACTGCATGGGTATCTTGGACATTTTTGTGCCTCTTGTTAAAAGATTTTAACAAAAGGGGTCGACTATCTCAAAAAGTCCATGGGAGGTGATTGCAATTACCAAACTTCAGATGAAGGTTTCAGCAATTTAAACATTAATAAAAAGTAATAATTTTTTTAGCTTAATAAGGCAAGTGTATATTAAGCACTAATTGTGAGTAGACAGGGGTTGGGCTGGGTCAGAGGCAAATATAAACATTTTGTTGAATGGGAATGCTGTTTCATGGAGAACATTTTATATAACTATATTCATAGAGGCAAATATAAACATTTTATATAACCACATTCATAGAGAAGGAAATCAAGCAGCGGATTGGATTATTGGATAGCTAATAAAGGTCACAGAGCTTCAAGTTTCAATGGACTGTCTTCTTGGAAGTTAGATTCTGCTTCGAGGTTGTGCTCTTCCCCTTTTCCTAGATTTGTCTAGATTCACTAGAATCTTGTTAATCCATTCAATTTTAGTGGTTTTGAGGTTGAACCATCATGTTCCTTACCATAGACTATAATATATAAGCTTCATGCTTATGAGTTCTGAACAGAGCAAGTTTCATTTCTTTTTTTAAATTAAAGGGGCACATCCAGTGAATAAACCAAAAGATTTCCTAATAAATATGTATCTTCTTGGGCCTGGTTTTACTTCTATATTAATAGAACATGTTCAGGCCTGAGCCTGAGCCTGAGCCCAGCCCTCGTACAAAGCCTGAAATTTGGCCTAGAAATTGGGTAAAAAGAATTTTTTTATTCAACAACAAAACCAATTGATTTATTTATATTAAACGATCTCAAAACTTAAAAATACCAAAAGATCTCATTATGACTTGAGAAAAGAGGATATATATATATATATATATGAGGAAAATTGAAAAAATCATGTGGGATTTTCTATGAGAGCTAGGGGAAAAAAGAAGGATCATTTGGTTAGATGGAAAAAGGTGAATAAATTGAAAGAAGAAAGGGGTTTGAAAACTGGTAATGAAATTTGAGCCCACATGCCTAAAATAAATCATGTCCAAACTTGACAAAGAACAATATGGCCCAGCATGAAGATGTATAATTGAGAGACGTTTGGCCAAACTATTGCTATTTTCGCCGTACAATCATTTTTTTTTTACCAAGCTGCTTGAATTTTGATATTTAATTTCTCTCCAAGAAGTCTAAAGTTATGGTTAGAAAACTTAAAAGGGCATCCAGCTTTCCACCCACATGGGGAATATAGGTTGTTAAGAAAAATCCTCAGGATTGATAATTGAATGTTCTTTCATTTAATTTTTTGATGGACCACTTTTGATTGTCATCACTCCACAATTGTGTAAGCATCTCACATGAACATGCTTCATCACAATATAAATCCCCTCTGTGATTTGGGTGTTTAAATAAAAAAAAAGGAAGAAAAAAAAAAGGCTAAGGCGTCAGTCACAGTGCCATTTTGGGCTTCTGGTCTCAAGAACACCATGAACAGACTGCCATCATTTAAGATTGGTTATTACTAGCTAAGCCCTCCATGTGCCTCATAGCTTCATTGATTTATTATTATTATCTTAATAGGAGTAATCCACTGATAAAAGGTGAAGCACAAGGGAAGAGTCCCACCATCTAATTTGAGATGAGAGGTGTTACAATAAATTTATATAAAAAGATTCCTCCCTCCAGAGCCATAACCTTGTAGATGCTTTTGCAGTTAGAAATAAATCATCAAACAACATCTTTACCGAATCAGAAAACTGCATTTGGCTTCTCTTTCTCCTAATCTTCAAACGTCAACTAACTGATTAAATGTCAACCAACTGCATTACCGAATCAGAAAACTGCATTTGGTTTCTCTTTCTCCCAATCTTCAAACGTCAACTAACTGATTAAATGTCAACCAACTGCAAATTGAAACGATTTTCTATAGTCTAATTTCATAAATTAAACATCAAATGCATAGTAGTCTTATCTGACTCTAAGCAGCTTATAGATCTCCTCAATAACAGAATGGAGCCCAACTTCTGCAAAGAGCAACTACACTGGGATTAATTTATAAGGCTAACGATTTCTTTTTTGCTTGTGAAAGCCAAGTAATTATATCCTACAACTCACAAACCCATACTCATGTACAGTGATAGTCTGGAATGAAGCTGCTCCTTTGCTTAAAAAAACACAATTTCATCAAAATTATATGGATCATAATCTTCCAGAAGTGGGAATGAACCCCCTTCTCTCCCTCACGGGAATACCACCCAATTCTCGAGACTAAAACTATAATCCTTCAGACTCCTAATTAAGAAAGACATCTACCAACTAACGCGTTATCCTTATTAAATACCAGAGACAGGGGTAGGAGACGGTGTTTGAATTTGAAGAAAAAGTCTCATCCATAATCTGAGTGAAGATTTTGCTGTCAAATGGTGCCTGAGTAAATTTTCCCTATTTGATTGAGCTAATCAATGATAAGTTGATAACCACATAAGCTGCAAGTTTCCACAAAGTTTAAATGACTTTGATGCATGTAAAACACAGCGGTTCCGCACTCCGCAAGATACAATTGAATTTGAATTCCACTTTGCGACTGTTGCCCAGCGGAGACGGTAGAAATGTATAGCAGCTTACAAGTTACAACTTCTCCGGTGTTTGTTTCACAGGGAACTTGAATTCTAGGAAGTTTCTGCTCAGAATTTAAAAAATGGTATTTGAATGAACCTTCGTTTAATGGATCTGCCTCAAAATCTTTACCATGACGCAACCTTTATTTTTCAAGTTTCTACAAAAAGTAGACAGAGAAATTAAAACGCCAACAAAACAAAAGAGGCATTAAGATTCAACTTGTCACCAACTCCAACTATTGATATTTTATATATGTCAATATGATGTTTTAGTATTGTTTCATGTCCCACATTAGTCTAGGAATTAAATAGGGTTCATGTCTTATTTTTTGTGCCATAGGCCCAATAAACTAGCCTAATTTAATTTGGACTAATTTTAAAAAACTTAAATAACTAAATTTTTGTTATTAAATACTATGGGGTCCAAATTCATTACTCCATTAGGCCCAAAAGCCCACAATTTAATCTTAGGGTACAGATCGGGCTGGGCCTTAGCCTAGGTTAAATCACTGATCACTGGTGCTAAACTAAGCCTTGGCCGGGCCCATGATCACCACTAGCATTATCTAGCTGCAAGTTTTAAGGTCTCGTAGGAAGCCAACTTGTTCTTATTCGTGAGGTGAAGGGTTTTCCCCGTTTTGCCTCCAATATGGATTGTGCAACATTCAAATTCAAGAGGAGATGTGAGAATGAGATGGCTCACCCAGTTGCAATTCACGGTTTTCAGGAATTTGCAAGTTTGAATTGGTAAAGGCATCCTCTTATTGTTTTAATCATTTCTATCAAATAATACCAAGGACCTATTTGGTTCGTGGGAATAGGGGTCTGAAATTGGAATCGGATAGAGCCAAACTGTTTGGTTGGGTGGAATCTGAATCCCATTCCAATTCCTGGTAGAATAGCATTCCCCAACTTGAGAAAATGACCATTCCCTCCCCCTCCCCCTCCCTTGAAAATGAAATTCCATGCCAGATGATTCCAATTCCTGTCTGAGCCAAATATTGAAATATATAAGGGAATACACCATTCCAATACCGATTCCATTTCCAACTGCAAACCAAACGGATCCAGCAAGTAAATCCATGCTCCTAATGGAGTTAAATATAATTTTGGTTAGGTTTGGATTGGGAAACTTGGGTTTTGACAGCAAGATATCCATTAACTTTTAAAGGTGGTCATAACCGCCACCGTAAGTCCAGAACGGTATCATAGACATACCGTTCCAACTTTGCCCCATTGCCGCGCCAGTAGAAGATTTTGATGAATACCGCCTTAAATGAGTTGGCAATGTATGAGGCTGCAGAGGGTCCTCTCCTCAGTCCTCACTGTTTGGTCATTAGAGGACTCAGAGCTAATATAGATAACTGATCAAATCCATCAAAATAATCTTCTCAACTGGGTATACGGTATGTCACAGGTTCCCTGGTCAAAGTTTTAAACTGTCTTAAATTACAAAGACTTCAGTGATGATTTTCAACACTGCACAGGAGATGGTGAATATAGGAAATTACAATCAATGAACTTACACAGTATTTTTGGGCCTCTGGGCCCAATTGCCCAAATAGATGCATATAGGAATGTCTTCCTTTTTGCCAAGAGAAGTTAAACAGGATAAGCACAAGGAGAACATGCATACCAATTCTCCAAGGTAAGAAATGGTTCCAGTTTAAGACATCCTTAACTATACAAAGGCTACTGAAATCTCAGCAATACTGAAGTCACCATAAGAAGACATCATTTAGAACTGCATGTCACCATGTAACAAATAAGTTGCCTCCATCAATAACCTCGTAACTGGGCATCCCGACTTGTCAGTGGAACATAACGGACAGAAGTTTCACTATGGATGCTAATGGAACCATCCAGATTCTTGTCTACTACCTCCAAATCCTGGAAAATGTTCCCAACAGGAATTACCATTCTGCCTCCAGGCTTTAGCTGGTCTATAAGTGGTTGGGGTATTTCTGTTGCTGCCGCTCCGACATGGATAGCATCATAGGGTGAAGACTCTGGCCAACCTAGCCTCCCATCTGTGACCATTCAATTGTTCACCATAAGATTCTTATTGACATATATCACAACAAAAGTTTTGTCTTATTAGCAGTTAGAATCATGAAAAGTCCCTTTTCATATTGGTTGCAGACAAATTGTAATGTTCTTAATGAACTCAATGATTTTGGTTTTCTGCAACATGTCATCTGCGCTGGACTTTCGGATAAGCCAATAAATGATGGCCACCACCATACTGCTTATTGTGTATTTCTTCATTTTATGTGCAGCCAGATATTCATGTTAGTAGGCACTGATGAGGAGAGTTTCCAAACATAGCCAGCACAGCAGCATCTACAATCAGCAACATTACCACCAAGGAACTTGTGGATGGAAAAGATTACCACCCAAAAGACGAAAAAGTCATGAAACAAACACAGAATGAAACAGGAGACCTCTCCTAAAATGTTTGGTAATGTTTAGTCTGTACCTCAAAACCAATCAAACTTTTCTGTACAATCAGATGACGATCATGATCATCTCAATAAGAGAAACAATCAACTTACATAGTGGGACATCACATAATGGACCTAAAGGCCTTCTCTTTATAATGTTTAGTGACAGCAGTCTATAACCATTCTTCTGTAGCAGGATCTCTAAAGATCCACTTATTCATATTGAACACAACACGATTTATAGAGACATAAGGTTTGCTGATCATACCTCCCACATGTATAGAGAGTGAACCCTCTTTCAACAATGAAGCTGCTGGGGTCTTTTGGATGTTCTCAATGGAAGATGCTCCCAACTCAGGAATGTGTTCTATACCAACTACACGACCTTGTGGTCCAACCATCAATGCAAAACATGCTGTCAAATAGCCCGTCCCTACATACAAATCACAGTCAGAAAAAACACAACAAAACAATAGTGTAGCTATCCTCATAAGGGTACCTGATGATAGATATGATGACCATGAATTATCAATATGCCCTACTAAGTATTACAAGCCGAAAGTGAATGCAGCACAGCAGATTGAGACAGGAATTAACTTAGAAAATAACACTTTGATGGGTCACAACTGATGATACACGATCTGGAAGCTCCTAGCTGGAAGATGACCTGGACCTTAGTCGTGTAGCGAAATGGACCAAGCTGCAGGACAGAGGATCAGAGAACCCGGGGTGGCTAGCCTAGCAAGGTTGCTCCGATGCTTAAGTCAGTACTGGGTTGTGCAAGCTAAAAGTTTGTATGCTAGTAAGCTAGTGAGCAAATAATCGCGCGTACCCTGTGTCATTGCGGTTGGTGCCTTTATATAGGCATTGTTTGGTGTAGGCTTCGCGCACCGCATCTGAGATTTCCGGGAGGTTGTGCCTTACCGGTCCAAAATCCTCGGAGGTAATTGCTATGCACGTTGATCATCCTCCAGAACATTCGGTACGTGGGCCAACTTTAGAGAAACCTGGGAGTGTCGGGGTATGCATGCCGAATTTGTCGGCGAGCACATCTCGCAGGTCACCACCTGGTCCTCAGTTAGGTTGGCAAGCCCTCGAGAGAGGTCGTGCCTCACTTCGAGGTCACTTCAGCCGGTGACGAGGTGCTGCAGGTCGGCCCTGGACGAGGTGCTACAAGCCAACCTAAGTTTTGGTCGATGTCGCCAAGTCAGCAATAAAGGCAGGTCGCCAGGTCGGGGCGAAGACAAACTACGATCTGGGACTCCAAATCATCGCTTAGGTGGCATCTGGGCGTCGTCCAACTGTTTCGGGATGCCATGTGTCATGAGGTTATTGGAGGGCCAAATCCTCCCTCATCAATTGCCCCCCACTCCCGAGCTGAGGGAAACTCGGCGAAGGGAGTAGATTGTTCCTTTGGCCCGGAATGACTGTTTGATGAGCTCGTAGTCGTTGGCTTCAATCCAATTTGCTCCTCAAGTCGGAAGAGTCCAAGTGTTTGCAGCCTTATGCAAGACCTCGCAGTCTTGATTATCGGGGCGCAAGAGCAAATTCATCCGCTCGAGGAGAGGTGGAACAGGTACCCCTTGGACATCTACCTTATTAGGGGTGTGACCATCAAGGGGTTCTGCAATCCGACTAAGTACTTCAAGAGCAAAGCTCATCATGCCGTCCTCAAGAAGGGGTTCTGTGTGACTGCTTTATCAGGTTTCTCCACCTAGGTAGACTTCGACGCAATGTCCCTCAAACTGGTTCTCAAAAGAGTAGCTAGTGAATTCGATGCGGAGCCTAAAACCGAGGTGGAGGTCTACTGTGAAGAGATCAGCCAAGTTTGTGTCTGTCATGGTCTAGTCTTTCCTTTGTTTCTCTTTCTTGTGCTGAATTAGTCTTCCTTCCTTTGTTTCTTTTTTTGTCCTTCTTTTTCTCTTTCTTCTTCTACACACCGATGAGGCTAAGGTGGAACAGTATGTACCCGACCTGTCTGCACACCGATGGGGCTAAACGCAAACTGCTTTTTTATTCCGTCCGTGCCGAAGAGGCGACTGGGTCTTATTCATGTTTAGCGTCGAGGTCACTATTTGTTCGACGTCGTGGCCCTTGGGCTTTGGGAGCGACTCATAGTCCACTCCCCATAATATTATTTAGCCGATGTGCGGCCTGACCTCTCCGCCTAAGCGGGTGGTCATTCTGTAGTAACTTCTCAAATGGTTGTTTCTATGTCATCCCGTGGGATTATCTTCCTGGGTGAGTGCTTGCGAGACCACAACGTACATGTTCTGGCCCCCCTTGTGAGGGCTGTTGATACATAAAGTTGTTGTCGGCATGAGTCGGCAATTTGGGGCCACGGCTTCACTGCATCAGCCTCATAGTGACGCCGGTCATCCACTCCTACAAGAAGTCACTGGAAGCTCGACCTGCGGGCGCAGCATTACTGACTTTAGGTCACCAGCTCGCACGGGAACCTTGGAAGGCTCGACCTGCAAGGGCGTCCATGCAGTCCGTTGGCCACCGGCTCCTGCGGGAGCCACGAAGAGCTTGACTTGTAGAGGCGACCTCGCGAAACGGGGCTGATGAGGCCTTGTCCTGCCTGATTGCTATTGAGGATGAGTTGAGGTTGTTTTGCTGCTATCTACATCAAGCTTCTCCCATGCTCAGATATGGAAATTCATGCTTCATCTCATAGAATTTCCACGCTTCAATCCCGACGGGAGCTGCAGATAGCTGTATCGTGGGGAGAGGGGCGTTCACATGCGGTAGCGGTATATTTATCTGGGGCATTGAGAATGCTGGGTTCGGCCTGAATTTGTCTGAGTGTCACTGGGGAGTTCTCAAGGTTCATCACAGATGCTCTTCACCCCAGTAATTGATATTCGTTCTGGATGTTGGTGCTGCTCAAAAATGCTTTTTTTAGTTCATAAAAAATGAAAATTTGAGAGCAAAAACTTAAATTTTTAAAAGGCAAGATGATGCGCGATCTGGAAGCTCCTAGCTGGAAGATGACCTGGACATTAGTCGTGTAGCGAGATGGACCAAGTTGCAGGACAGAGGATCAGAGAACCCGGGGTGGCTAGCCCAGCAAAGTCGCTCCGATGCTTAAGTCAGTACTGGGTTGTGTGAGCTAAAAGTGTATGCTAGTAAGCTAGTGAGCAAATAATCGCGCGTACCCTGTGTCATTGCGGTTGGTGCCTTTATATAGGCATTGTTTGGTGTAGGCTTCGCGTACCGCATCTGAGATTTCCGGGAGGTCGTGCCTTACCGGTCCAAAATCCTCAGAGGTAACTACTATGCACGTTGACCATCCTCCGGAACATTCGGTACGTGGGCCAACTTCAAAGAAACCTGGGAGTGTCAGGGTATGCATGCCGAATTTGTAGGCGAGCACATCTCGTAGATCACCGCCTGGTCCTCAGTTAGGCCGGCAAACCCTCGAGAGAGGTCGTGCCTCGCGTCGAGGTCACTTCGGCCAGTGACGATGTGCTACAGGTCAGCCCTGGATAAGGTGTTGCAAGCCGACCTAAGTTGTGGTCGAGGTCACCAGGTCAACGATAAAGGTAGGTCGCCAGGTCGGGGCGAAGACGAACTACGATCTAGGACTCCAAATCATCGCTTAGGTGGCATCTGGGTGTCATCCAGCTGTTTCGGGATGCCATGTGTGATGAGGTTATTGGAGGGCTAAATCCACCCTCATCAACAACTAAGAGCTTGGGATTCCATTTGTAGTAGACAAGGGGATAAGTGTCATCTTGGAAATGTACTACCAAATGCTAATCACTGCTGGTTTGGAATTCAGAAAATAGTCATATATATCTAGTTTTATTTTTGTTTTTAGTTTTTTTCATCAATTTTTGCTTCCTGGAAGAGACATGCATCTTATTTACTCATGATAATCACTTCCGAATATTCAATATAGAATTTCTACTAACTGGTTCAAACATTAATGATTAATCTTTGTATGCATGGAATAACATGGAAAAGTTGCATCTTAAGGTAGTTTCATAAAACTATAAAAATTATATTTCCAAATAAATTAAATAGAGGACAAGAAATGCACAAAAAGAAATGCTAATGAGCAAGCAAGGCCAAAGGTTAATTGCTTGAATAAAATAAAGTAGAAGGCCCTTTTTCAATAAACTGAATACTTTGGTGATTAAGAATGAGATCTGGATAGACAATTACACAATTCAATTTCATAGAAATAGCATTTCTTTCCCCAAAGGACATTTAAACTAACAACCTCTATCCATTTAACTATTGTCAGAAATTTTCTAGGCAAATCAACTAATCAAATTGCAACTTTTTAATGCTTCCAACACTGCAAGTTATCCCTTAATCACACAAATTCTAGAAGACAACCAAGTTCAATTCCCATAACCAAAGGTATAAAGAAAGGATTGTGGGTGGGTGGGTGGGGGGCTCTTAATACTATTGCAATAGGAAGCTAACAGGGATTCTGGGACAAATTTATTAAAATCCAAATGGGACCTCAAAATCAGTAAAAGTAAACATGATTTTAATGTTCCCTCTTTTTCCTTCCACAAAATTTCTTATTCGTAAACATTTGAGAAATAATACATAGATCAATGTCTTTCTACATGACGGAAAACTTTACTTTGAAGGAATCCATACTCAATGTTTTGGTACCATCCCAAAGCTTGTCCTATAATGGTTTTTGAAAGGTGTAAACAAACGTATTAACTTTTACTACTTGATATCTTATAATGATCAGTCTACAATGATTCAGACAAAGTAAATAGAAGCAACTTGTACCTCTTTTTCCTTCCACAAAATTTCTTATTCGTAAACATTTGAGAAATAATACATAGATCAACGTCTTTCTACATGACTGAAAACTTTACTTTGAAGGAATCCATACTCAATGTTTTGGTACCATCCCAAAGCTTGTCCTATAATGGTTTTTGAAAGGTGTAAACAAACGTATTAATTTTTACTACTTGATATCTTATAATGATCAGTCTACAATGATTCAGACAAAGTAAATAGAAGCAACTTGTACCTACTTCTCCGTGAGGCAGATCAAAATGGAAACTTGATACACCAAATCTTGCATAACAAGGTAGGAAGTAAGACATGAAGAAAGAAGAATACCTGAACCAACATCTAATACATGCATGCCCGGCTGCAAATTCTCCTTCAAGAGTTCAAGGCATGTAGCATGCATATGGGGAGCAGATATAGTGGCGTTGTAACCGATCTGCATGGGGCTGTCGACATAAGGAGGGTTCCCATCAGGTACAAATGATCCCCTATCAATTTTCTCCATCACTTCGGCTACCTTGGTTGATCTAATTACTCCATAGTGCTGCAACTGCTCTACCAATGCTTTGTTCTGTTCGGTCCCGCCACTGGTCCACAATCGCTGTCAAGTTATCATAGAATGACTTCATTAAATGCGAGGCTTAACAAGGCAATAAATAACTAAAAAGCACATGTGCACAAATGAAAAGATTAGCCTACAGAGAGAGTTTGATGCAAGTAAGAAGTACACTAAGGAAGGAAAAGATAGAAGGCAGGCAAAGAAGGTTTCCACTGGGTGAGTGATGGGCAACAATGAAATCGATGCAAGTAGCACCAAAACTAATGAGATATGTTCATTTCGTTCTATAAGCATGAGTAAACTTCAACGGGGACAGGGGTGTGCCATCTTCCGACTGAAACAGCTTCCTTTGGAAAGAACCACAGCAAGACTGGAAGCAGGATGAAGAAGAACCAGTACCTCGGCACATATCGCTCCCTCTTTCCCTCCTCGTTCGAGGCCATAATCACTTTCACTTATAGAGCTCACCAAAATGAAATGAAAAACAAATAGCAGAATCGGTCTTGTAAAAAAGTGGGAGGTTTCCTGAAAATTACGCATTAGCTGCTTTAATCAAGCATACTTTCTCTACTAATCTTCGCACAAAAATCAGTAACAAACATGCGACGAGTTCTCAGCCATTGAAGGTCAAGCTCATCTTTCTCTAAAAAATAAAAAAAAGAAAAAAATCAAAGAAAAAAGATAAATTGGAATAACAAATCCAATACACTTCTTTAAGCCTCCATTCATAAATCTTGTAAATCGAAACAAACAAACAAAAAAAAAATACAATGCAGGTTCAATCAACATACCTCAGAATCAAATTGGATGAAAAACAAAAAGAAATGATTAGGAGAGAAATGAGCAACATATATACCTCCATTATGAAGAAAAGAGAATCGTCCGTGAAGAGCAAGAGCCTAGGGTTCGGTTGACAGAAGGGGAGGGAGTTTTCGTGTAAGCAGGGAGAGCGCCGACAAGGAGAGAGTAACGAAGGTGAAGGCTACTGATTAGGCGACTATTTTCGCAAAAGCAGAGGGAGGCGCAGAGTAGCGGCAACCATACGCTACAGAGAAGAGAAAAACGGCATGATACCTGAAAAAACTAATGACCAATCAAGTGATCAACCGGTATCATATGTGGCAACCGATCAAACTGGTATTCATCAAAATTCAAATTCAGGGATTCTGAAAGATTCAAAGTTCTTCCGAACCGATGTCATAATCATGCCCTTACGAGTTATCGCGTCCTAGAAATTGTCTTTTCGCAGATTCTCCTTTTCTTTTCTTCTTCCGGCTGTCAGTCGACTCAGTCCGGCTTCATCAGCCCGTCGACTAGCATCGTAGCACGGTTTAACTTTAAACCGAACACATACATACCGGAGAGTATGCCGCTATTTCGCCCATTTTACACATCACACGTGCTGAAACGAGAACGATGCTTGTCCTGGCCTCACGTCAAGACGCCCACGGATCATCTCAATATTTTTCTCTTGCCATTCCCCCCTCTTACGGATACAAGTGATATTGGATTCAGTCCTAGAATATTAATGTTTTTATTCATTAGAGATATTTTTAATGCATTTATGCACAGTTACAAATAGCTATGAATATCAATATGGTGTGAGTATAATTTTGTGAACACCGAATCCGATTTTCTTACAAGTTACAAGTGTCACTCCATTATTTGATTTAGGATGATATAACAAATAAATGAACAATGCTATCAGATTCTCTCTCAAGATTTTGAGTCTGGTCTGAGCTGTCAATTGGTCGGTTCTACGCTGATCAAATCAATTATATCTGTTCTCATTCTGTAATTTTGGCCCGATTAATAATTGCGCCGGTTCTGCTTCTTACTTTTATTTTATATTTTTTGTAAAAGTACATAAATAATATATAAAATATTTTTTGTTAAAAACATTTGATTTATTGGAAATTTGACATATAGATAATTTACTAATTTACTGTTATTTTTATTAAGGTTGTATTACTAAAAATGAAGTTTTAAGTTGTTATAACATAGATAATTATAGAAATTAGTTTCGATTAATAATCGCCTATCGGGATACAATAGATATTGGTTCAATCCAATCCAATCTAATATAAATCCATTATGGATGAATTAGATCCAATCCAATAAGTACTTTGGACCATTAAATCTGAACTGGTCCAATCCAATCCAAGCAACTACAGTTCAGTTCAGTTCAGTTCAGACAGAGATTCATCCTGCTTTGATACCTATATTTAGCTTCTTCTTTTTTTTTCCCTATAGTCCCGTATTTCGCTAATTTGGATCATCATCGAACTTACATATTTTAGGATGGATCCTCTATAAATTAGTTGATGAAAATATAGATTAAACTTGGACCAATTGTGGATCCTCCATTACACAGTTACACGCTCAATTTAAATGGATCGATGATGGGCCTAAGCTAGTAGATCCAACGAGGATATTGTGAGAGGTTTTCCTATTTGGATTTGGATTCAGATCCAATTATATCTGAACCTTTTACCTCTTGGGTAACCTAGTCATTACTTCAAGGTCAAGCCAAGAGATCCTTTCCCTTTCCATTTGATGTGGGCAGATATGGTTTTTTAGACATGCCGGCAATCTCAAAATCATCGCATGACACCCTGACGGAGACCTACTTGGAACTATATCGGATGCGTCTCGTAGGCCTTGAGGGTGCTTCGTCACCACCTCACCATGGCCGACCTATAGATACCTCATCAAGATCGAGACAGTCACCTTAGGACCGAGCTTGAGACCTCGGCACGAAGGGAGACCTCCCGCCGAGGTCTCACTGACCAGACTGAGGTCCAGATAGCAACCTACATGACATGGTGGTCAACCTTCCTACACCTCTGCCGACTTGACAGAGACCCAACTGTCAACCTACCTCCTCCGACCTAACAGAGACCTGACAGCATAATATATTGATAAGACTAGGTCGGCAGAAGAGGAGACCTACCTCCGCCAACCTAACGAAGACTTAGCTGGCAACCTATCTTCGCTGGCCTGACACCGTATGATCTTGACAGGACTAGGTTGGCAGAAGAGACGACTTACCTCCACCAACCTAACGAAGACTCAGGTGACGACCTCATCACGATCGAGCTAGGGACCTCGGCATTAGGGGTGACCTCCCTCAAGATCCTACTGACCTGACTGAGACCTAGTTGGCGACCTGCTTGACGTGGCAACCGGTCACTTCAAACTGAAACATCGTGCTCAACTCTTATGGGATCACATCGCTCAACCATTAGACCCATCTCTCCACGCTGCCCGCTTCGGAGTTAATCTACACGAATTCCATTTCCGAGTAAGAAACTGCTCTTGAGCATGGCTGACGACTTCTCGAGGATCTTGGGCATGCTATGGCCACATCTGCTCGGATGTGTTACGATCACAACTACATGCGCCTATATAAAGGTGTCTCCTTCAATCATAAGAGGTATGTGTGATTTAGCTCTCACAGCTCTCTAGCTCTCTCAAAACTCTTTGTTGACTTAAGCATCGGAGTGCCCACCCCAGGTAAAGCAACTCGGACACTCTGATCTCTTTCTTTGCAGCTTAGCTAGGCGACCTACTCAGTTCGGCGTCTGAGCTGTTCACCAACAGGGAGCACTGGATTGCACATCATCAATTAGCACCGCTTGTGGGAACACGCTACACAAAAGCTAAGTTCACACCCACTCTTTGAGCCTCAAGTAGTGTTATCCTCAAGTAACAACAACAACACTTGGATCGAAAGAACCCCCGCAGGGGGGTAGAATCAGAATGATCAGCCCGAACAAGTTCCAGTGGTCTCGCCCAAACAGAATCTCCCAGCCCTAACTGTGAGGCCACCTCCGTAGGTCAAGCCCTCCATGCTACCTACGAGAGCTGACGATCAATAGACTGTGAGGCTGCCCCTGTAGGTTGAGCTGAGATAACGGCCAACAAACTGTAGAGATACCTTGCTAAGGCGACGAGATGTCTATAGGTCGAGGTAGTAAGAGTGAACTGGCCTGTTAAAATTTTGATGACTTGATCGAGACTTGCTTTGGAGGCCTGTATGATCTGACTCGCGATACACACTTTGGTAAAAATCTGCGAATGGGAAGCCAAATTGCATTTAGCATTAAGGCTCCCTCAAGCCAACCTATTCGAAACACGACGACAACAAATGATTGACTCACGCTTAGCACACCTTAGTTCACTCAAACATGCAACATCGTCCTTATCCTCGTCGATAGCACCCTCGTTGGCATCATTCTCGTTGCCCTCTCTGCTATCCTCCACTTCGGTTTCAGGCTCCGCATCGACCTTGTCGGCCACCCCCTCGAGGACCAGTTTGAGGGACACAATGTAGAAGTCTGTGAGTGGAGCAACCTAAGGAAGCATGGAACAATTTGAAGCCCTTCTGAGGGCGGGCACGACAAACTCCACTCTTGAGGTACTTGGGCGAATGACGGAACTCGTCGATGGCTATATCCCTAGCTTGATAGATGTCCTCAGAGTGCCCGTTACACCTCTCCTCATGTTGATGAGTTTGCTCCTGCACCCAATGGTCAAGATGGCAAACTGCCTAGTGCCGCATTTAGCCCTTATACTCTTCTAATTCAGGTGAGCAAATTGGGTCAGTGCAAAAAAAAAAAAAAAAAAAGAGAGAGAAAAACTAGTTGAGCTATCACTTTGGGTCAGAGACGTGTAATGAACTACTCCCTTCGTCGATCTAACTTCAACTCGGGAGTGGAGGGCAATTGATGATGGCAGATTTCACCCTCTAGTAATACGCCATGTGGCGATCCCAGAATCATCACATGACACATCGACACCACGTATGCGATGACTTGCCTTAACCAAAATGATAAAGACCTACTTGGAACCACGTCAAATGCGCCTCGCATGCCTTGAGGGCGCTTCGTCACCAAATAAGAGAATGCACCAAGGTGAGCTCCGAAACAATTATAGCACAGCAAGGTGCGCTTCCAAAGCAATTACAGCACCAGAATGTGCCAATTCAGTACATGCAATTTAATATATAGATATAGATTAGAGGGCCCAAAGGTACAAAGTATCAAAATATGAGTATGGGTTTAGTGGACCCTTAGGTTCATAGGGCTCGTGAACCCTCCAATAGGGGGCATGCACGTCGCCCCTTCATCTCTCCTCTATATAAGTAACACTGTTTCCCTTGTCAGACCGGTTCAACCGGGCAGGAAAAAATAAAACCAATCGAAACCTCTTTCCCCTTCGTTTGAACTCCCTCTCTCCCCCATTTTCACCCGTTCCCGAGCCCTAGCTCAAGAACACAAGAACAGCGGCGGCGTCTTCATTGTTTCACCGACCTCCAATAGTGAAACATTCAACCGGCGGCAAGAAAAAAACCTCTAGTAATCTTCTTCTCCTTCTCCTTGACCTAGAACCTTGTTATTCATATCTTCTTCCTCTCTACAGACCATCGGTGGCATCCTCACTGTTTCATCGACCCCCGATGGCTTGCATTCAACCGGCAACAAGAAAATAACCTCTAATGTGCATTCAACCGGCGTTCTCACTGTTTCATCGACCTATCGAAGCTCCTGGTACCTTGATCGAACTCAAACATCAAATCTATCAAAGATGGAGGCCTAATGACCAATGCTTACAAGTATTATGGAGGTCGGTGGCTTGAAAGAGGAGGAGACATACCCTTACACTAGAAAACCTGGTGAATGCAAGTTCAACCCAGAAAAAGTGGCTGTGAGAGTCGTCAACTTCACAAATATTCCTCTTGATGAGAATCAAATTGCAGCCCATTTAGTCCACCATGGCCCTCTTGCAAGTGAGCATTTTAAGTTTCTGGTTTAGATCTCTGAGACTACTGATTTTACACCATTTCCAACTTCCTGTATCATCTCATATGATAGGTGTTTGACTCTTTGTGTTTGTTTGTCTGATCCATGAAATTTATATATGCAGTGGGGTTGAATGCAGCATTCATGCAAACCTACATTGGTGGGTTACGGCGCCAAGGGGTTCTTCATTCTTAGGCTTGGTTACGGCGCCAAGTAACTCTCGAGTAGGATCTTGTAGCATATACATGGGGAAAGAAGCCTATTAACTGATGATTGAATTCAAATTAGGGAAGGATAAGCTTAAAGGGAACCCAGAGACATTTCCTCCAATTCTTCTTGCTTCTGTGTCGTTTCTAGTTTCGGATACGTGGTTATTAGCAGTGGCAATTGGGCGGGTTGGGTCAACCCAACCCATCTAATTCGCCAATCCATTAATGACCTAGATATATAAAATTAAATGGGTTGAGTTCAATCCAAATCCACTTTAACCCAATCCAACCCGCCCAACCCATTAATTTTATATTTATGTACATAAAACAAAAAACTAACTCCTTCTTAACAAATAAGTTGGTCATAGCTTGGTGGTAATAGTAGTTGCTATTTACACAAGTGTTAAAGGTTCAAATCACATTATATGCATGTTGTTTTTACATAAGTGACGAAGCCATTTGGCTATGTTCAGGTTTTGGGTTTGATAAAAACACTGAAGTTCAAACCGGTCAGACCAACTTGAACCATCTAATTGGATTGTCTTCGAGCTAATCACAACAAGGGTGGTTGAACCGTTTAGATCTAGATCAATCCGATCAGACCAGACTAAACTGGTTTTAGAATTGGGTCGATCTGGATCGGCCTGCCTGAGTTAGGTCGGGTTTGGACTGGGTTGACCGACCTAAATGAACCAAACTAAGGTGATCAGGTCTATTCATATTTAGACCAAGTTGAGCTAGTCCAAACTCGGGTCAAGTTTACTTGGATTTATGTCGATTTGGGTGAAGTGTGTTGATTTGAGAAAAAAACTAATTTTAGTCAATAATTAATAAAAAAGTAATGCATTAATTATAAATTATTTCATTCAAGTGAAGAAAATTAAAAAAATGGTTAAAGAATTAATACTTATATCTTTAATGATTGACCCAATGGTTATCCACAATCCAACCCGACCCTTTTAAATTGACCCAATGGGTGATCAACCCATTTTCAACCCACCAAGTAAATGGGCGGGTTAGATACTAGGTGGGTTGGGTGAAAAATTGCCACCCCTAGTGGTTACCACCTATTAGCATTTCATTGGATCCCCAACAGGATTGCACACTACAAAACCTCTGATTATTCTCGCTAAAAGAAAAAGAAGAAGAAGAAGAGAAAGAAGCTTACCATCGGTTGATTTCTTTTGATTCCTCTCCATTTGATGTCATTTGCGCAAGAAAATCGTCCATGGTCTTCTCACAGGCCAGGCTTGGATATGGGAGAATGGGAGGGAGAGTTCAAATCGTTCAAAATGATATTTTCCACTTTTGTTTTTTAGGCACGGTTCAAAGGGGCAACGTGTATGCCCTCTATTGGAGGGTTTACGCGCCCCGTAAACCTAAGAATCCACTGAATCTGGACTCTCAAAATATCAACGAATAAGTATTCTACAACCCAATGTAGAATTCTGAAATTATAGTCTATTAGTAGCCCTCTTATAAATCGCATCTTGCCCGTAAATTTAGCATCAATCCACGTCACACCTCTGTGCGATGTGACTAAAAATTCTAAAGTCCACTGAACAGTCATTCTCCAAAATATCAACTTTCATCCGTTTTAGGTTTTTTCCCTACACCAAAGTTAAACAGCATCTACATTGTGCCTATACAACCGGTACCATAAAACTAGGCTAATTAGTAACCTCTAATTCAATTGTAATTGGTGGGGTCGTCTAAGCTTGCGTCCTTACTTGACTAAGAAATGCCCTTTTTCCTTTTTTTTTTTTTTTAATATGTCAGAGCGTGGCAAAATTCCTTAATGGCCCATGTGGTCCAATAACCCGACCCCCCAGATCTATAGATGTAATCTTTTCTTTTTCTTTCTCTGTTTTTTCCTTGGCTGGGAAGTGAGAACGGATACCGTTGTTCTGTCTCTAAAATACAACACGTGTATACCTTTATCTATTGCTTCTTGTAATTCTCTGCAAGATCAATTTGAATAGAGAGAAGGCTTATTGTGTAAGTTTCATATCAACGAACAAAAAGAGTGAAATCGAACAAATTTTCAAAGCATATAAAGTGATAGGTCTCTGAATCCGCCTTCAAGTCTCAAAAATTATATAGGCATCTTTGACCATAATCTTGTTTTAATCCCATTCAACGTCATTGTCATTAGGAAATTAAATGGCAATCAAGTGAACATCACGATTAGTGGTGAATTCGAACCGAACCAAGCTGCAGACTCGAGACTGTTTTCGAGCTCGGTTTGAGCCAGAATTGAATTCAAATTCGACTTGAATAAAAAATTCATAAGCTTGAATTCGATTTTGAGAAAAAATATTTTATAAAAATATTTTTTTATTTAATATTTAAAAAATTAAAACTTATAATAATTAATAATTATAATACTTTTATTATATATATTATTTTCTATAATTCTATTATATATATTAAATATCATATATATATATATATATATAATATATTTGAACTGCTTCTGATACACACGCTGTGTTTGACCAGAGTCATGGAGAACAAAAAATCTAAATGGTCACCACAATATATAATCTCCTCCGGAGCCAGGATTTATCCCACCTGTACGGTGGGCCCAGATTTCTGGGGTGTACTGAATTATAAAAACCCCATTTCTTTTTCTTTTGTCTTTTCTTTTTCCTCTGAGTACATCTCTGCAACATATTATTATGTGCAAGTGTCTATTTAAGATCAGAAATGAATTCGTGGGTTCGCTTTATTCTCTTTTTGTTTCCCATATACCCCCCTCCTCTCTCAAGCAAACGCTTTCCATTATTTTATTAGCTAATCTCAATTTGGCGATGCCTTCGGTCTGGAGTGAATCTCTTCTGTGTTCTTCGTCATTATCAGAAGATGGTGTCCTGGTGAAGAATATCCTCCTCACACATGATCCCGATGGTTGTCATGTCGATCCAGAGCCATTGCTTCATGCTGTGGAGAACATCATCTGTTTTGCGACCACATCAAATGTACTGTTATTTCGACCTCCTCTTCTCTTTCTGCTATCTTTCTTGATTCAACTCTCGTCTACCATTCAGTGCTCAATACTTTGCATTAATTGTTTAAAGTGAATGTTTGTTTATATATTATTTGAATTGCAATGCACTGTTGTTACATACACTATGATCGATCGATCGATCTGTCAATTAACATCCTAATGCATGTTTCAGGTCTCTGGGCAACACCCAGATGGAATTGCAGTGAAAATTAGATGCAACAACGAAGAAAATGGCTCGCATGAAGTATTGGGACAAGTGGTGTGCAAGATCACATACCAGGTTCTCTGACTCTCACTCACACAGACAGACAATTGTGTTGTCTTATATAAGAAGAAAACTAACTGCATGTCGATATTATCAATGACAGATGCTATACGAGTGTTATGGAGATGAAAATTTGCAGACGAGGATCTTGAACATATTCGAATTATTAGGGAAATTTTCGTGGGGCATGAAGGTGGCTCTAGTTATAGCAGCAATCGCGACAAGCTATGGGGAATTGTGGCTCAATATGCAACTCTGCCCTCGCGATCCATTGGCTGTGTCAGTTGCAATGCTTAAGCAACTGCCTGAAAACGTGGAGGCCTTGAAGCCACGTTTCATGGCATTGAATTTGCTTGTTAAAACCATGGTAGACTTAACAAGGTGCATCGTCGACTTTGAAGGTCTCCCACTTGGGCATGTGGAGTTAGAGCCCAAGGAAATGAGCACTACGAAATCTCAGATTTATATAGCAGCCTACTGGGTCATCAGAAGTGCCATCGCGTGCTTTTCTCAATTCACTGACTTGATGGCCATGAGAGTTGAGCAAGTGCATGTTCTTTCCCTTCACTCTTCTCTCAACCTATCCAGAGATATATGGGTTTTAATTACCATTTTATTTTATTGTTGATTTCGTTCCAATAGCTTAAGTACTAACTCGTTGGCATAACTCCTGTTGTAATTTAATTAATTAATACTATATACTAGCTAGCTAATGCAATTAATCTAGCCATGGAGATTGGAGAAGCTAGCTCCCCATTAATATAATGCAGCATGCCTGAACAATGTATGGTTTTTTCTCTCTTCAGGGACTCAACTTCAACAGTTATTGCAACGTGGAAACTCTCTAGTTTGGTCTATAGAGTGAGCGACATACGAGAAAACCTTAGAAAGCATGTGGATTTGTGTCGTCAACAGATAGGTCAGTACTCAGTACTGTGGATCCATGATTTAATTACTAGCCCAGCATCACCCCTTATAAGTGGCCAGTCTCCTTAGAGTCGATCCTGTAATCAATGCCAATTGTATAGGTGCTTGGTAGAATCAAGTTTTTATATGTACTGATAAGCATAGAAAACTTCATGATCTTGTACAGACAGAAAGACCTATCAGAAGCTTTTGCATCTTTTTAAGGAGATCCATATCGACAACCAGGAGGTACTTGGCTTTTTATTTTCTCTGAAGGATGAGTTTCCACTGAAGAATGGCTCATCACAAACAAAGGTTTGTCTAAATCCAATGTCCAATTTTCCTATTCTCCTGTTTTGACCAGAGACTCAAACTGCATGCGCAGCATTGGTCCATTTCTGTCCATCTAAATTATTTTTCTTTTCCAAGGAAATTTCCAGTTTCTATAAATCAATTAAACAGAGTAATTAACTAGCCAAAGCAATGTGACATTTAATTTTCTATTACCAAAATCAAATCCGTATTCTAATACAAGTTAAATCATATGTATTTTAATTCCTAATGCCATCTTCTTCATTGTGGTTATGTACAGCTTGGGGTGTCTGAATTAGTAAACAAGGAAGTTGTACTCTTGGTCTCACAACCAAAGATCCTCCCACTAGAGGAATTACTCTTGCTTGTGCAGCAGACGCAGAGTAATCCTCAGCACAACAAGTTGAAGGGGTGTTATGAGATCGTATGGGTGCCTGTTCCATCCTCCAATAAGTGGACAGATGCAGAAGAAAAGGATTTCCTTCATTTATCAGATTCCTTGCCGTGGTATTCTATACGTCAGCCGTGGTTGCTTAGCTCGGCAGTGGTGAACTACATAAAGCAACAGTGGCGTTTTACAGAGAAACCATTCATTATGGTGTTGGATTCCAAAGGGAGGGTCTCCTCTTCAATTGCAATCGATATGATATATATCTGGGGTCCCGTTGCATATCCTTTCTCAACGGAGAGGGAACTGGAACTCTGGGAGGAAGCAAGTTGGTCATTGCAACTGATCATGGGGGAAATCGACCCCCTAATATCAAAGAGGGTATGTTTCTAATCGAACTTTTATCAGCATTCAGAGAGAGAGAGAGAGTGAGAGTTTGTATTTATTCTCATAGAATTCAAATGATCTCAGGTAGAAGAAGGAGGAACCCTTTTTCTTTATGGAAGCGATGACATAGAGTGGATTAGAGAATTCACTAGCACGATAAAGGAGATGAAGAGTTCAGGTGTGCAGGTAGAGCTGGTTTATGTTGGTAAGAGGAATTTCAGTGACCATGTAACAAGTATTTTAGACATCATTGGTACAGAAAGACTTGGAGTTGGCGGTCATCTCTCCTGCCCAAAGATGGACTTCTTTTGGATTCGTCTGGAGAGTATAAGAAGATCAAAACTGAGACTAGAAAGGTCTCCTGATGTTGATCATATTCTAAGAGAGGTTGAGTCCTTGTTTAGTCTCGATGCGAATGGGAACAGCTGGGTGGTGATCGGGGAAGGGCCACGCACAGACGTCATAAAGCTTCAAGGAAGCGAGACCATGGAATGCCTGAAGTCTTTTCATGTGTGGGGGGAAAAGATAGAGAAGCTGGGGGTCTTGGGTGCAATAAGAAATGCTGTTGATCCACTCCATTTTACAGAGCATTGTGACCGCTCTAATATCATTCCCTACACTCAAGGCTCCACTGAAGGGACGACTGTCGTTTGTGAACAATGCCAGCGTCCAATGAAGATGATGAACATTCTGTTTCGGTGCAATGGAATTGGGACCGACTGACTCGACCTGGAACTGGATATACACAGATGTCATTTTGGAGTTATTCAACATTGACATCTGTAAAGGAAAAAGTAGTAGTGAATGTGTCATGTCTTCTAATTACTTGTAACCATAACTATACAACTAATTGTGCTTATAACTTGTGTTTGATGGGTGTGATGTGAAACTTTCAGAAATCCAAATTAATGAAATGGTATGAAAACAGAGGCGCAACCTTAATTTGCTTTTCCCACGTTAGTATTTGTAATTGTATGGACTTTGTCCCCCGTGTACGTCAATTTATTTTATCTTCGCATAGAAGGGAGAAGGGAGTATGCTAATGTTAATCATCCCTCTCTAGTGTGTAGTCTCTAGTTGTTTCCATCCATCCAATGATAGAGCCTTCATGTATCTGGCCCCGCCTTGTCTCGTAAGATCCCAGCCCTTAAAATCAGAATTTCTCTACACAGCCGGACCTTATTTTAAAATCCATCCAATTCTAAAGTGAATTCAAACTTGAAAGCCAGGTTAACGGGGGAGATCACATTGGTGCCCCCACAGAACTACTTGTTATTGGGAGATATTCCCAATACACGGTTGGGATTGGGATGTGCTCTGAAACGCTCATAGGACGCATTCTGTTCAGTCCAGCATGTGTCCACCGTTTTTTCTCTCAGTCGTGGGAGTATGTACTATCTAGTAACTAGGACTGAATCAGCATAATGTTACACGAGGTCTTTGGCAAATATGGACCGGTTTGGACGAGCTAAAATCAGTCCCTTTATGGAAGAACATGAATATATAAACATCCAACCAAAAAAATAACTGAAACCCAAGGTGGGGAGGCTCAACCCAGCAGACCGAAATAATTATTAATCCCATTTTCACACGACAGAAGGGAATTTCTACGTAAAATTCAACCCCATCGTAGGCCTCCCTTGGGAGAGAAAATGGTAGAAAAAGGAGGAACTGCCTTTGGTCATAGACAAATTGTTCCACAGTGAACTCAACATATTTTTAAGCATTCAATTAATTATTACATTCCAGAAGGGTTGGAAGGTTTGGGCATGGTTTGAGCTTCAAGTCATATATCTAACAAAAACAATCAGTTAGAAAACCGAATACCCCTTCCCCCCAATGACTGAAAACATATATGTGTGGCTGCAACGTGTTTATACGGGTGTGAAGAGGAAATCTGATCACTAGAAAACTAAGTGTGTGTTCGGTACCATTGTTGTCTACTATCTAAATCTATACTATTACTATTATTATTATTATTATTAATTATTATTTTAAAACTTAAGTGTGATTGAGAGTGTGGAGTTTTTATTTGACTAAAATATCATAGGCTGTGTTTGTTTAAGACGTAAATGTGTGTGAACCGAGGTAAACTTTATACTCTGGTTTAATTTTATTAACGTTTGGATGAGATGTTATTTTACATCTTAGATGAATGTAAAATTCCACTTTAGGTAAATTTTATATAAAAAATCAGTGGAAAGTTACCACCGATAAAATCAATGTAAAACTCCAACTTCTCAAAACTCGATGGACTCTCTCTCTCTCTCTCTCTCTCCCCTTGTTCTTCTTCCTCCCCGTTTCACTCCCGCCTGTTCATACCTACTACTCCAACTTCTAGAAGTAGCAATTCTCCCCTTTTCCCCTTCTCCGATCAGTCCACCATCAGTGTTGCAGATCTGTACCTCTTCTCTGCTTAGTCTCCATGCTGCAAGCTTCAATTCTTCACCGGTGTAAGAAGTTTCCATCTGTACCAAACAACAACGCATCAGAGCTCACACCTCTTCTCAACGCTGCAATGGTAAACTTGGTTCCACCGGCATTTCCACCATCTTAGAGTACAGAGAATCAACGTCGGAGGACGATATAATCACAACAGTGATGAAAATGCCAATTATCAAAAGAAACCCATGAGAAATCGCCATTATCATCGTCGTGATTCGTGAATCAGCTCAGCTCAAGCTCTTTTTCTTCTCTTCTCTCTCTCTCTAACTTTTCTCATCTTCTCTCTCCTTCACCGGCACAGTGACACGATGCAGGGGTAGGTAGGGTCATGATGGGTCTATGAAACGTTTAAGTTAGGTAGGCAGGGGTAGGCACTGACAAGATGCAAGGGTAGACAGGGGTAGGCGGTGAAACGTTTAAATAACTTGATCCTCCAAACATGATGAGTGTAAATAGGGCCAACAACCGGTTCCCATTTTACATTCTCATCAAACCGGTTCCCATTTTACATTCTCATCAAACCGGTTCTCATTTTACATTTGGTGTAAATTTGTTTTTACACCTCAAATAAACATAGTCTTAATTTTTTAATTTAATCCCTATTGTAAGAATAAAGATGTAATTTGAACAACCACTTTTTCTTCTCGTTTAAATTCCTCTCATTAAATCTTATATTTAAAATATTAAGTCCCATTAGCCTCCCCAAGAATCAACCACAACGAAAAACCAGTACACTAAGCTTGAAAAGAGAGAGGTCCACGCTCATACGCATACACGTACACTATCGCTCTATAAAATGAGTGTTGGCTATGCTTGATATTTTGTAATGTTTGCTGATTAATCATGGGATCTCTTATGAGTTGGACATCGTCAAGAGGTTGACCAAGGAGCACTACAAGAAGTGTTTGGAGCAGTGGTTCAAGAAAAAACACTTCACTGCCCACTCGACGCATGAATTCCTGCTCAAGATGCACAATATATATGGTCACAACCGTGGTCTTCTAATTTTTGTCCAAAGGTTTTATAATTTTTTAATTAGAAAAATATTAAAAAATGCAAAAAAACGTTTATCTCGGCTGTATGATGTGGCATCACACTGCACGCATTGGACAGACCATGAACATAGGGGTGTCAATGGTGGTTTTGAATTAGTTGGACCCTATTCAAATCAAAATCATTTTGGACAGATCGGGTAGAGACATTAATTGGTCTAGTTTCTATTACCCAATCTGTTCAAGTTCTAAGTTCAAGCCCATTGATGCAACCTTTGCGGTGCCTTTTATTTATTTCGTCAGATACAATGGATGGTGTTCATCATTGGGCCGGCGATGGGGTTTCTCATGGTTTTCAAAACCAGACCGGATCGGACGGTTGGATTGGAAAAATTGGGAATTGGTCATGTGACTGGTTTCGTTTTCTCCAAAAATTAGATTTTTCTTCAAAATCGTTGATTTTGGTCAGTGAACCGCTGAACCGGGCAGTTAATCGTTCGAATGGTTTTGACCATTTTTTTATTTTTTTATTTTTTTGTTAAAACGGGCTGAGTGTTTGGTTTGAACGGTCGGACTGTTCGACTTAGTAACCGGACCCCTGACCTTATTGGATTTAAAAACCATGGGTTTTCCAATTGAGAATGGGATGAGGGTTTCTGGCCTGCTAGAAACCCAATTTTGATCTACACTGAGTTTCAAATCGAGCTTGAACTCAATATATAAGGTTTTTTTTGCTAATCAAGCTTATATCATATATAATATTTTTAATTTTTCTAAAAGGTTTTTGATGAAGGGGAATTTGGCCCGACCTCGCGATCACCCGACAGGTGGCAAAAGCAAGCACCTCGGGACAGTAGAGCGCCCGAAACGAGAACCGAAAGTAAGTCCAAGCTCACTACTGAGCCCGAACTCCACCAGACCGCTCTAATAGGAGCCCAAGCTCCCTACTGAGAACCCGAGCTCCCTGCAAGGAGCACGAACTATATTGGGTCCCAAGCCTCACAAAGCTATGACCCGAGTTGGCCCATGGCAGCTCGGAACACTCCCCAAACCGAACTCAAGACATCTCGCTCGCCACTCCAACACTTCGCTTCCGAAACACCAGGCTGACCAAACGTACCCGACACCAAAGACGTCCGTATCCAAGGGCGACGCACCTGACTGATTTGGGATTTGACGCCTGACAGCCGCACTTCAAACGGCCTCCTGCTACTGCCACTTGCCACCGTCGTTACTAGCCGCAGAGACGGCTCCGACAAAAAGAGCAGTGGCGGTTCTGTCCGGCTAGAGGAAATGACATCCGAACTGGAAGGAGCTCAGAAATAATCATGCCCGATCTGACGGAAGCCTAGAAGTGAGTGCGTGAGGTGGTTATAAAAGGCTCCTACCCCCTAGGAACGAGGTATGCTAACTTTTGCGCTATCTGGTCTATCTTGCCTTTGAAAGACTCTAACTTGAGCTTCGGAGCCCTTACGCCGGGTTCTCCCCAGAGCTTCTCTTCTCCCTCTGTTTCAGGTCCCTGCCACTCAGTTTAGAGGCAAGATCGTTGACAGCTAAGATCGGTTGGATTGTGCATCATCAATTGGCGCCGTCTGTGGAAACGCTTCAAAAGGCCTCCCTCCAAAACTCTCATACCCCTTTCTTCTTCTTTGAAAAACTCAACGCTGAGGCCGACGCCCTGTCCCGACTAGCTTGCACGAGCCACAACGCCAGGAGAACCGTGTACGTAGAGGACTTATCTCGGCCTAGCATTCTCGGTGGGGCAGAAGAGGTCGCTCTCGTCACTGAAGCAGAGCCGAGCTAGATCGACCCACTCGCGAGCTTCCTACTGGACGGAACCCTCCCCGCGGACCGCAACGCAGCCAAGAGGGTGCAACGCCAGGCAGCCAAATACGTCATGATAGACGAACGGTTGTACCGACGATCCTACACGCTCCCCTACCTGCGATGCTTGCGCC